AAAAAAAAAAAGTTAAACAGAGATTTACCATATGATCCAGCAATTCACCTTCTGGGTATATCCCCCTCCAAATTTTAAAGAGACCTGAATAGGTATCTGCACACCCATGTTCAGAGCAGCACTATTCACAACAGCCAAAAAGAGGAAACAACCCAAGTGTCCACTGACAGATGAATGGGTAAAGAAAATGTGGTCCACCCACGCCGTGGAGTATCACTCAGCCACGAAAAGGAAGGACATCCTGTCACCTGCTCCAACATGGGTGGACCGAGGAGCCATTACAGGAAGGGGAGTAAGCCAGTCACAGAAGGACAGATACTGCAGGGTCCCCTCATATGAGGGTCCTAGAGTCGCCAACGTCATAGGGACACAGCGTAGACGGTGGGTTCCAGGAGGTGGGGGAGGGGAACGGGAAGGGACATTTTGGTGGCGGTACACAGCAGCGAACTGTGCACTTGAAATGGTTAAGATGGTAAATTCTATATTATGTGTGTTTTACCACAAATAACTGCATATTCATACACATACACACACACACACGGCAGAATTTGAAAAAGGGGAAAAAGGGTTAAGAAAAAGGACCAGAGAGCCGTAGAGGTGCGCCCGCCCAGTGCCCGCCCTGCAGCGGGTGCGGTCAGTGGCCCTCCCGCCCACACTCACTTGTCCATGGCGGCGTCCTTCTCCTTCAGGGCATCGACCTGCCTCCACTCCGCCCTGCGGAGCTGCAGCTCCAGGGCCTCACAGCGGGCCTGCAGCCCCAGGGCCCTGGCCTCCAGCACCTGCAGCTGCTCCGCGTGGGCGCCCTTCACAGCCGCCAGCACCGCGTCCCTCTCCCTGGCCAGATGGTCGAGCTCCTCATGCCTGAAACACAGGCAGGTGTCACGCAGTGCCCAGGCCCCGGCTGGACCCCAGACCACACTCCCTCTCCCGTGCACGGCGGCTGCCGCACTCGGGACCTCAGCCGCGGCGCATCCTGCCCAGCTACCTCTGTAGCGGCCGCTTGACCAGCAGCTCACGCTCCTCAGGTAAACACTGGCGAACAGTTCTTAGACGCCACGTCCCCGGACGGCTCTGGAGCGCACGCTCCCCCAGAAGAAAGACCCCGGCGACGGGAGCTCTGGTAAAGCAGTCTTACCGCCACCCCCACCGGCTTTCAGCTCAGCAGCCATCAGTCACCCGGAATGCTGAGGGCGACTGGGGACCGAGGGACATCAGCGGCTCTTCTATCTTTGCCGGAAATGCCAGACCTACCAGAATCCCCTCACCAGGACAGACGTCCGTCTGGACAGGACAGCGTGGGCTGGTGGGCGTCATGCGGACATCTGACTGGCAACGCTCAGGACTTTTTATGCTTTTATTCTATTTGGTTTCAATAAAAAGCTAAAAGCCCTGGGGGGCACCTGGGTGGCTCAGTCGTTGAGCGTCTGCCTTCAGCTCAGGTCATGATCCCAGGGTCCTGGGATCGAGCCCCGCGTCGGGCTCCCTGCTCGGCGGGAAGCCTGCTTCTCCCTCTCCCACTCCCCCTGCTTGTGTTCCCTCTCTCGCTGTGTCTCTCTCTGCCAAATAAAATCTTTAAAAAGAAAAAAACTTAGAAGCCCTAAAAAATGTAATTTTACATGCTATTTTTTTATTATTTATTTTTTGAGAGAGAGAGAGAGAGCGGGGTGGGGGAGAGAGAGAATCTCAAGCAGGCTGCATGCCCAGCACAGAGCCCAGCTCGGGGCTTGAACTCACGACTCTGAGATTATGACCTGAGCTAAAATCAAGAGTCGGACGCTTACCTGCCTGAGCCACCCAGGTGCCCCCTACACGGTTTCTTTTTTTTTAAAAAAAGATTTTATTTATTTATTTGACAGAGAGAGCGAGCATAAACAGGGGGAGCGGCAGAGGGAGAAGCAGACCCCCTGCAGAGCAGGCAGCCCGACGCGGGGCTCGGCCCCAGGACCCTGGGACGACGAGCTGAGCCGAAGGCAGACGCTTCACTGACTGAGCCACCCAGACGCCCCTCCAGCTGCATTTTTCACGTCACGTTAACATACTTTTCATTCCAATTACAATGAAGCCTCATCCATCTTGCAACCTGTTCAATATTTTCTTTTTTTTTTTAAAGATTTTTTATTTATTTATTCGACAGAGAGAGAGAGAGCGAGAGCAGGAACACAAGCAGGGGGAGTGGGAGAGGGAGAAGCAGGCTTCCCGCCGAGCAGGGAGCCCGATGTGGGACTCGATCCCAGGACCCTGGGATCATGACCTGAGCCGAAGGCAGACGCTTAACGACTGAGCCACCCAGGCGCCCCACCTGTTCAATATTTTCGACCTTCTCTTAGCCAAAGAGGAACACGTGCGAGCGTCTGCACCCACTGGCATCCGGCAGCACAGCCTCTGTCTCATCAAACCAGGAAAGGTCTGGTCGAGACGGCTAGTGAAGGAGTCGAGTCACTCCCGAACTGCGCTGCGTGATTGTTGGTCAGTGACTCTCAAAGGCCCACAGCGGACTCCGGGGTGGGAAGCCCGCCTTCTGTGCTGCCCGTGACGCCACAGAGTCCCACGGCGCCGTCCGAGGGGCAGCATCTGCGCTAGCGCCAAGCGCGGGAGCCCTCAACTGCCCTAACCTGTACCAGACCGCTCTAGGACACTTTACAGGTATGCTCTGTAATTCTCAGGGTTTTGAGGTTACTCCTCCAGACACATACAGATTCACTTGGACTGAAAAACAAAGTAAGATGTTCTTGCAGAGCAACCCGACCAGCTAATGGTTTCACAGCAAGGTGGGTTCTGCTGCTTAGGTGGTCTGCTGAACGCTTTCCCTAACTGGAAACGAAATCTGCAAGCTTGAGGTTTTAGGGAGAAATGGTAAAGCTTGCAGCAAAATAAAGAGCATCTTACTGTATACATGCCATGCTGATGAACGTGTACTCTGAGTCACAACCTTCCAGTTTCCCAGCCTCTCAGGACGAGGGTTTCCCAAGCTGCCGCTAAGTAGAAGGGCACCAGGTGTATGTAACGGTCCCGGAATAAGTCTTAGGAAAGCCTCTTATCCAAACTTCTGGAAACAGAGAACGTGAATGATCCTGCCGACTGAGCCAGGCACTACCAGCTCTTTGCTCCTATGGAGTGACCAGCAGACACACGACAGACGGTCATGCAGGGGCGAGGCCAGCAGGTGGCTCCTGGCTCGTAACTGGAAGGCGTTCAAAGCCTGGGGGATGCTGCCAGAAAGCCCACCCGGCTGTCTGCGGGCTGTGCGTGTGACGAGGTGGCCAGCCCCACAAAGGTGCTCACAAACTGATGCGGGGACCCCTTCCCCTCAGTCGGGGGGCATTCCTAAGGAGACTTACAGTTATTGAATTTTATAGTATATTATATTGTTTTGTAAAGTATGTGCAAATAATTACCAGAATACCTTCATGTAGAAACCTTTTAGAACACTTAGAGCCTTGTGGCCCCAGCAAATTTCGTTGTTTTTAGTTTATATAAATATATGCATTATGTTAGAGAAGACTGATTTCAAATTTATGAATCATAAAAAATACACTATAGGGACACCTGGGTGGCTCAGCTGGTTGAGCGTCTGCCTTCGGCTCAGGTCATGATCCCAGGGTCCTGGGATCGAGCCCCATATCGGGCTCCCTGCTCAGCGGGGGGCCTGCTTGAAACTCTCTCTCTCTCCCTCTGCGCCTCCTCCTCACATGTGCACGTTCACTCTCTGTCTAAAATAAATAAATCTTAAAAAAAAAAAGTGACCAGTTTTACTCTCCTTTTTCTTAGAGATTTTAAAGTAATTTCTGCACCCAACATGGGGCTTAAACTCACAACCCCGAGACCCAGAGTCATGTGCTCCACCACCTGAGCCAGCCAGACACCCCTGAACAGTTTTACTTCTTAAAGCCAATATTTATAATATGCTAAAAATTATATTCATTTTCAACTATTTCAGTTTATGAATAAAAACACTTTGGGGGTACCTGGCCTGCGCTGTCAGTGAGTGTGCGGCTCTTGATCTTGGGGTCGTGAGTTCAAGCCCCACGCGGGATGTAAACGTTACTTAAATAAATAAACTTTAAAAAAAAAAAGGCTCTAGCTCTGGACATGAAGAGGAACACTGTTTTTTCCCAAAGGCTGGCCGCCACAGCGCATCCCAGCACCACGGGCCTGCGTGGGTCCAAGCCGGACCACATCCTGCTGTGTCGTGGCCCCACGTGCCCCCAGAAGCACGCACACAACGCCCGCCCTTGTCCCGCGTGGCAGCCTAGCCGGGGGGTACAGGGGCCGATAGCGTACCCCTGTGCGGTGGCCTGGAAGGCAGCTCCCAGTTCCGTCTGACTGCAGGTGCAAAGGCAGTAGACGGACAGGCTGTAAAGCTTTTCTCCTCAGAGTGCACAAACATCATGGCCAGAAAACACAGAAATGCCCCAGACGGCCCATGCTCCACCAGCCTCGCCCACTCCCGTGACAGAGCATCCTCACAACCACCACACGCGTGCTTCACCCATAGCCACCCTGGTGCTTTCCAGAAAAGGAAGAGGGTGACAGGTGGAACGGTGGATGGCGCCCGCCTCGTGCTCTCCGGGGCCCACGTCACCCCAGGCCCGGGCTGCTCCCAAGGGCACGTGCTCCCCCACACCTGCCCTCCCCCAGAAGCTTGCCTTGTGCCTCTCTGAGCCCTCCTCATCCTGTGGGTCTCACAGGTCTCAGCCTGGGCGGGCCACCACGGGCTTTCTCAGAGTCCCCGCGCCACCTACAGGCTGGGCATCCTGACACCTGGCAGTGCGGGGCACGCAGCCCACAGTGAGGGATGAGGTGAGCATTTCGGCAGGAAGAAGGGGGCTCTTGAGAATCTAGAGAATGTATAACCAGGAGAGCAGGATTATTTTGCCAAAATAACGTAGAAATGAAAGGTGACCATATCACCAAAGTAACATTTGTTGCTGCAGTCTAAAATTAATGAACTGGTTAATAAAACTTCTTTTTTGAGACAGAGAGCTCGTGCATGTGCTCAAGCTGGGGGAGGGGCAGAGGGCGTCCCACGCAGGCTCCATGCCCAGCGCCAGCCCGACATGGGGCTCGATCTCACGACCCCAAGATCTTGACCTGAGCCAAAATCAAGAATCAGATGCTTAACCAACTGAGCCACCCAGGTGCTCCCTAGTTCGTAAAACTTTTAAGTTTAAAAGTTTTAAAACATCAGGGCACCTGGCTGGCTCAGTCAGTGGAACACGTGACTCTTGATCTTGGGGTTCTCACTTTAAGCCCTACGTTGGGTGTAGAGATTACTTAAAAATAAAACCTAAAAAAAAAAAAAAGTTTTAAAACACTAAAAAGCCTAACTACCACTGAGAAAATCCTGGACAGAGCATGGAAGCCGACCCAAGGCAGTGAATTCAAAGGCCGGATGGCCCTTGGGTTGGTGGGAGCCCCTGCCTGGACCTAACCCCACGCGGCCAGGCTGGGAGCCAGGAACACTCACTTCCTCCTGAACACCTCCTCTTCCTTCTTCCTGGAGAGCTGCACACAGTTTAGTTTGCCCTCTAAGTCCTTTATCCTGAAAGGGAGGAAGTATTAGCGGGGAGAGCAGACGAGGACCCACAGCCAGGCCGGCCCCCAGCAAGCCAGGACAGGCGGAAGCCCCCAGCCCAGAGGAGGCAGGCGCAGCTGCGCACCGGGCGTCCTTGGCGGCGGCCAGGTCCCTGAGCTCCCGGCCACTGTGCTGCAGCTTTTCCTCCAGCCCCGCGTTGGCGGCCTCGGCGCTCTGCAGCGACTCCGCGGCCTGTGCGGCCGCGTCCTTCAGAGCCACGAGCTCCTTGTTCAGCAGTTTTACCTTCAAGAGACAAAGAATTCAAAATGAGGCTGGAACTGGAACCGAGCAGACAGAAAACAACTCCAGAAGCAGCGCATCAGTGAGGGTGTCCTCACGCACCCCCCAGTGAACATGCCGGGGCCCCACGACCTCTGAGGGCACGCCGCACCCCACAATGGGGCCCACGCGTGGCGAGCCCAAAAGACCATCCCGGTTCCTATGTGAAGAGTGCTGATACTGGACTCACACAAGCAGGTGGAGCATGCAAGAGCATGGCTCCATTTTAGAACAACCTTTCTGGGCCTCGGTCCGTGACTGCGACTGCGGGCCAGGATGATGGCTGTGGCACCCGCCTCCGGCCGCGTGCATGCTGCCGCCCTCCGGGGGAGGTGTTCCCGGGTTTGTGACGGCCAGGCACGGCAGATGGAGGTGGGGCAGGGCCCACCCCACTGTGGAGCTCAGGGCACGTCCAGCGAGCCCTCTCCCCGCCAGCTCTCAGAAGTCCCCGAGGCCTCCTGAAGTCACTGCAGGGCAGCCTGGGCCTGGCTGGCGGGGGGCAGGGCTCCTACAGGAGTGCGGTCAGGGGGCCAGACAGGGCCTAAGAGGGTGCGGAGAACCGGTGTCCCTGCCAGGAGGTGCGGCTGGGCTGGGAGTTGCCTGGTCTGCACGCCGGCCACAGAGAACTGCCAGGGTTCCTGGGGGCCCTGGCTGGCCGAGTGCTGCCCTTGGACTGTGGCACTGTGGGAAGGCTGGAGGCCTGCGGGAGGGGCCCACCCTGACCGCTAGGGTGGGGTTGCTCTTACTGATACCAGCTGCATGCCCACACAGGTGTAACCTATCAGGTGGCAAGGCCAGACCAGGTGCCCTCTCCTGCTTCCTCCTCCCCCGCACGCCCTCCCGCCTCCTCAAGGCTGGCCCGTCTCCATGCTAAAGGTCAGGTGTGCACGCTGCTCGTGTGTGCCCTGGCAGCCGGTGGACTAGTGCACCAGGGAACCCACGCTCACTGCAGCCGGGTGCCCAAGGTGCACGCAGGCCCTGACCACCTGCCTCGCCTCTGCTGTAAGTGGGGGACAAGCAGCACCTCCCTGGAGGCCCATTCCCAGTGCTCACAGAGGACACAGGCCAGGGACAGGCTATCTCGACCAGGGTCGGGTGGCCGTTTATCCTGGGGGGGCACCTTTCCCCAAGGTCGGGGCACCAGCCCTCCTCTGTCCCTCGTGAGACGGGCCACGTGGCAGGCACCGTGGCGGGCGCTCCCCAGGCATGTCACCCCTGGCCCCTGTACAGCGAGGGAGGCCTCTGTGTGGACCCCGCCGTCCCGCCCAGAGGTGGCCTCACGGCTCAGGAGCGGCACCTGACCTCTGAGGAGGGAACAGTCACCGCCTGAAGGCCATCCCCCACCTTGAGCTCATGAGTCAAGACCACGTTGCTCATGCTGTCCGCCTGCAGGCGGAACCCGTGCTCCCTCTTCTGCATTTCAGACTCAAATTCCAGCAGCAGCTCCTGAAACAGAAAGGGCCGGCGGTGAGAGGAGGCTGCCGTGCCCCAGCAGAGCCCCCGCCACAACGAAGCACCAGGTGAGCGGGCGAGCAGGCCCGAAGCCGCAGGACACAGAGGCCCCTGGTGGTGGAGGTGCCCCACCAGGCGTCAGAGGGCCTCCACGGATTGCCCAGGGGGCCACCAGTTCTTGCCAGACGCCACAGAGCTGCCGGGCCTGTCCACTGGGCACACACAGACAAGGAGCTGCTGGGGACTCGGGACAGAGGCCCCTGGGCCTGCTCACCCCGCCCCTGCGAGGGGGCAGCACTGCCAACAGCTTTCTGGCTGCTTCCAGCTGGGTCTGCACACTGCTCCCCGCCGGCTCCTCGCCAGGACCCCATCCCACACCTGCCAGTACGCTGACCCCGGCTCTGCAAGCAGACAGTCTTCTGAGCTTCACCCCCAGGCTGAATCTAAAAACCCGACACGTTATTATGACAACAGCAGTACTCACCGCGCAACCACCAGTGAAGGTGACCGCAGCTCACAACTGACAGCCCACTGCTTCTCCTGGAGTTTGGGTTCCCCTCCGATCTCCCCCGACCTCTCTCTCCTCGGTCGTCCCACCCCCTCCCGTTCCTTCGTGGTGTCCCCTTGCGCAGCGTGACCCTCTCTCCTGGGGTGTGGCCCCTCCGGAGGCCGCGGCCTCCACACTCTGGCCTGGCTTCTCCCTGGACTGTGGCACAGCTGTCTCTCCGGCTGCTCTTCACACTTCCCTGTGCGTTCCCCAGCGCTCCTGCGCCTCCTCCTGTCTGTGGTTTCCTCCTCCTGGGAAGCGCCTCTGCCGTGCCCCATGCCCCACGCGGCCTCACCGGGGGATTGGAAGCCCAGCTCTGGCCTGGCCCAGGCCCACCGGCTCCTGCGGAGCACTCGGAGAGTATGGGGCCGCCAGCTGGGCCCTGTAGCTGGGGCTACCCAATCCTGGGGACGCCAGGGAGTCTGCTCAGCTCAGGCCCCCATCTCTTGGTTCCCACTGTTCTGAACTCAGAAGGGAATGGAGGCAGCTGAGGGCTGAGCCCTTGGCCACTGGCCAGGCTGCAGAGCATAATCCAGTAACTTCCAGGAGGAGACTCCTGCTGAGCCCGGCATCTGCAGGCATCCCCCCTCCACCTGTGTGCAGACCCGAGGGCCCTGCGCTCACACCTCACAGCTGGTCTGTCGTGCTGAGCTCCAGCTGAGCAGCGGGGCAGGCTCCGTACCCATTCTCCCCTTCTCTGAAACATCTCGCGCTATTGCTCAGGCCTCCGCTGTTCTTTTGTTCTGAAGGCCCTGCCCCGAGAAGCAACTGGTCCATTTCCTCAATAGTCTGCCCCTTCCTGTTTCCCACTGCATGTTTCTGGAATGTGATTGCTGGATTGAACATTCCAATTTATCCTCCACGTCTCTTAAGTTTTTTCCCAGATTTTCTTTATTTACATTCTGTATTTCTTTAAATATACTTTTAATTGTCAAAATTCTTTGTTTTGTGAATGGCCCTTCCTCCTAGCATCCTGTTCTTGGGTTATGGATGCAAAACACATCTCTGGTAGCACTAATCACAGGAAGGCCCCACAATGCACCCCAAGAGCCTGAAAACTAAGACCTGACATGAGGCGAGGCTGGCCCTGTCCCCACCCTGCTCCAGACAGGCTCAAGTTCTCACCTGTGGAGACGGCAGGGGGGGTCACAGGATCACCAGCTCACCTGTGGACGGCCAGACCGGCACAGACAACCAGAGGCCTGTGTGGGCACATCTGCTGCCTCACCCCGGAAGAGGGCACACAGTGATGGGCTGCAGGATCACTGACCCAGGCAGGAATCATCGTTCTATCAGGGCCATTCTCCCTGTTACTCTTGGCTTCTTTCCCATGCTGCTGGCAATTCTCAAATGTCTCATAATCCTGCCTTAGTTGGATGCTCCTATTCAGGAATGCGGCAATAAAAAGCTCACTGGAACGTCACCAAAATTAAATCACCTGCTAGTCATAGGATACTGTTGAGGAAAGGAAAAGGCGGGGCCCAGGACGGAAGAAGATCATTGTAACACACGTACCTGAGGACTTGTTTCTGGAGTACATAAGGAACTCTACATATCAATAACATGAAGACAAATAATCCACCTTGGAAGAAGAGCAAAAAAAGTGAACCGACACTTCACAAAAAACATATCTTAACGGCCAATGAACACATGAAAAAATGCTTACATGCTGACCATCAGGAACAAGCTAATTAAAACCACAACGAGACAGACACCACGACCCACCCTATAAACAGCTGAAATGGGAAAGACCGACGACACTCAGTGCTGACAAGGATGTGGAGCAGCGTCTGGGAACGCAGTTTGACGGTTTCTTACCAAATTAAACGTGCCCCAGCGCACAACCCAGAAACTATGCTCCCAAGTTATTTACCCAAATGAATAGAGGCCTGCCAAAAACGTTCACGGCAACTTTGCTCGAAATGGCATTGAACTGGAAACGACCCAAATGTCTGACACATGTATCTGTGGGCGAGCGGCGAGCCAAGCGGCGTGAGCGCCCGGTGCGCTACCCGCCAGCAATAGAGGGAGCAGCACCAAGCACAGCACAACGTTGCCCGTCAAGGCGCAAGCAGACTGCTGGGGCGGGGGTGGCACCCACGGACTGCAAGGGGCGCGCTGGGACTCACCTGCTGCCTTGCTTCTGCTCGCAGGGGTAATTCAATTTGTTAAACAGAACCGTGCTGAGCTTCTGCCTGGGAAGGAGCTCCTGCCTGCCTGGTACCCCGGGTGCACACGCTGGGGTCACTGCCCCTTACACAGCCCCCCAACTGACGCCAGGCCAGCCGCCTGCCCGCGAGCTGCTGCTTTTCCAACTGAGGCCCTTCCGTCCCCTTCACCGCTGTCAGTCCCTTCGTGTCCTGTCTCCTGTGGTCTCAAAGAAGAGACAGACCTCCATGGTTGACCCGCCATGTGGGCTGAGGTGTGGACGTGCTTGCTCCTCAGACGCAGCTCACACGTGAAAGACCCACACGCAGAAATTACGCAGGGGGAAGGGGTGTGCAGAGTGCGACCGAGATGCAGAATCCTGACTTTGTCTCCCCCGCCCTAAAATCTCAGTGACCCGACCCAGCCCTGGTGCCTAGAGCAGAGCGGAGGTGACGTGGGGCAGGTGAAGCCCGTCCCCACAAAGGAGCTGGCGAGGGCAGGCCCTCAGCATAGCGCGTGGACAACACAGCACAGCACGCAAGACCGCAAGCGGCTGGCGAAGTAACGGGGCTCGACAGTCTGAGGGGAGGCTGAGCCCAGCCCGACTGCTGGCGAGGATGCGGCCACATCTGCCTCGTCCCTGATCTGCCCTCTCGGGAGGGAGGCGGGAGCCACACACCTGCCAGGTGACAAATCTCTGAAGGTCTAGTGGGAGCCTCAGAGACACTCACAGAAGCACAACTGAAAGCATATGCCTTACTTTTTTTTATCCTTTGAAAAGCAAAACGAAGTATAAGGAGTCACATGAATACCCCTTACTGGGACCGGAATATGAGAATCTTTTTTTAAATTTATTTTATTTATTTATTTATTTGAAAGAGCGAGCGTGTGCACAAGCAGGGGGAGTGGGAGAGGGAGAAGCAGGCTCCCAAGGAGCAGGGAGCCCGATGCGGGGCTCGATCCCAGGACCCCGGGATCATGACCTGAGCCGACGCCCCACCAACTGAGCCGCCCAGGCGCCCCTGGAACATGAGAATCATTGAGATTTTTTCTCCTAACACATGACAAAACTACGAAGCATTTGGTTTCTGCTCAAAGTTCTGCAGGCTGTGGGGGCTGGGCCGTCACGCAGACGGAGCAGGGCCAGCAGGGGAGCACTGACCTGAGTGAAAAGTCCAGCCTAGGAACAAGGAGCGCTTCGTCCCGATTCACAGCTCACGTCCACTGCCACCACCCTCCTCTCTGGCTGCAGGGCACCCACTCTTCTGCTGGGCCCCTCACGGGCCCTCACCTCCCATCCTCCCGCTGAAGGCTCCGCTCAGGCCCCTCTGTCTACACCTGCCCTTTGGCGATGCCCCAGACTCCCAGCCCTGTACTCTGACCTCCAGGGTGCCAGGAGCCACCTCCCACACAGCCTGATAGGCTGCTGCCTGTGAGCCCCACGTGGCTGCCTGCCCCTCAGTCCCCCTGGACCCTGAACGCCTGCCCCGGGAGCTCTAAGCATGCCACCGTTCCCTCCACGCCCCTGACCACCTGCAGGCTTCTGCTCACGACTCCCCTTCCCGACCACCCTGCCTTATGGTGTCGTGCAGGGGACACCCTTGGGGGGCTCCACTAGAGACCGTGCTGTTCAGTGTCCATCGTGACCCACAGAGGCCCAGCTCGCTCCCAGAGCAGCTCCCAGGTCCAGGTGCTCACACCCTAACTCCAGGGCCTGGGAGGACACCCAGCACATGGTCCACATTCAAAAAATACGTGTTAAATGAATGAAGAAATCAATTAATCATTCCATTTCTACTTCAGTGGCTTCTAATCCTGTGTTGCTAACCAACACAGAAAAAAGCTTCCCTTAACCCCACAGCCTACAACTTGCAGGTACAGTAAGACTCAAACAGACCAACTCTGTTCCCATCACCTTATATTTCACTTTTCAAGAGAAAAATCACTATCACCATTGAATCAATTCTACTTCTGACAAGTCAATAATGGACACAAGATCTACAGAAACAAGAGACAGGAAACCAGCCCCAAGGAGACCACGAAGCCGGTGAGCACATAGGAGCCTAGTTCAGTCACTGAAAGAATAAGATGTGGGCAGCAGAGTAGGGTTCAAGCAAAGGCACGCTGCACCCTGAGAACCGGCATGGCTCACACTGTTCCAGAACCACACTGGCCAGGTGCCACCCACGTTTCCAGCAGCCCCCTTGGGTAGACCAGCAAAGCTGGGGAGTTTAAACATCAAGTTTCCTTCTTTCCAGATGTAGGGCTCCTACAAAGACCAACGTCCCCCATGGCTGTGAGGGGCCCCCGAAGACGCAGAAGCTCGAAGCCGGAACCAGCCCGAGTCACAGTAGAGGCTGAGTGTGGACAGCCTGGAAAGCCCTGCAGAGGCCTGGCCCGGCCACCACAATTCCCCAGGGGTCACTGCTGCCTCCGAGTGTCACCGAGACCCTGCCTGCCCAGGGCCCTCTGATGCTCCTGCAGGAGCGTCCCTGGTGCTGCCTGAGGAAACCTCATCACTACCCAGTAAGTCACAACAGGTCTTGTCCTCACCCTGCTGCTCAGGCCCTGGCTTAGTGCCCTACCAACCTGAGCTGTTCCCAAAAGGCCAACCTGCCTGTAACGGACAAAGTTCACTGGTCCTGGAAAGCTCCAGGAGTCCTCTGCAGATTTCAAGAGCTCTAAGGGTGCTCTGACGGCAGCATCGCAGAGAATGAATGTGGAGCTTCCAGAGGGGAAGGAAAGGGCTGTCAGCGGGGCCTCGGCCTCCTCCTCTGTGGTCGGAGGACAGTCGTGTCCCCTGGTGCCTTTCCACCCGGCCTGGCACAATGCCTCTCGGGAGACACTGTCCTGTCTCAGGGGCTGACACAGCACCTCAGGACAGCAGGCCGGGCAGTCAGGCCCCTGCCCACCAGCAGGACAGGTCTGTCCGTAACTGCTGCCCCAGCACCTGGATCAGAGCCGTCGTGGCCAGTCACACCACCCACATCTACCCTGCGGTACGGTCACCAAGAAACTGGGAACAAGCCCAGGGTTCAGTGGCTACGAGAAGAGGCAGAAACGGGACACAATACAGGCTGACTTGGATCCAGCTCTTTGTCCCAAATTACGAACAGGAGTCTACAACTAAGATGTGAAGAGTAGGGAAGGGGTTCAGGGCAGGCCCCCCAGAATGTGCCATCTTGGCACAAGGACTGTTTTGAGCTGAAGGCACTTGAGACCCTGCAGCCTCAAGAGAAACTTTTGTCCCTGTCTTACCACACAGAATGGTCTAAATCACGCGTCTTTCCCAGACCAAGGGTCATTAGCAGAGATAAATTTTATCTGAGTGACTGATCTGTGTGGTAGGGCAAACATCTTTTTTTTCAAACACCTTATACACACACACACACACGTTTTTTTAAATAACGTCTATGTCCAGCGTGGGGCTCGAACTCATGACCCCGAGATCAAGAGTCACACGCTCTACCGACGGAGCCGGCTGGGCGCCCCTGGCAGGACAAACATCTTACCGAACACCGGCTCTTCTCACTGCCCCGTGAGGTGCATTCCTTCCCTCTGAAGTCCCAGACCCCCAGCCCCTTCTCCTTAGTTCAGAACGACATACAGACCTCATTCTGCCTGACTCTGGGATTTCCATGTCTGTGTGGACTCCCCGAACATACACCTATTAAATTTGATGTTCTCCTGTTCATCTGTCTCACGTTGATTTGATTCTCAGTCCAGCCAGAAGGACCTTTGAGGGGATGGGAGTTCTTGCTCCCCGACAACGGCAATCCCAGGCCAGGGTAACAGCGGCTAGGAGTTTACACACTGGACTTCAGTCCCACCTCTGCCATTTACTAAGGGGCTCTTGGGCAGGTTACTTAATGCCTCTGGGCTCAGCCCCCCACCTGTAAAGCTCAGATCAAAACTGTGTCTCTGTCGTGAGGAGCACAGAGAGCTTCATGAGGCAGTTTCCATAAACACCGCTGTTGCTGTGATGTCATGAGCTCAGCCCGGGCTCGAAGGCAACAAGGGGACCCGGCGACCCCAGCATCTGCACTCACAGAAGCGCAGGCTGAGGCTCAGCGTCACGGAGGGAAACTCTGGTGACAGGGCGAGGCCAAGTGGCACCTGTCAGCTGACACATCTGTGTTGACACTTAGGATTACCTACGGTTGTCTTGAAAGAAATACAGTTACCACAATTTGAGTTCCCAGCTCTCTGCTACAGTAAGTAACTCAGATTTTGACTTTTCAATCCTTTTTTTCTGGAATAAATAAGGGAGAAAACATGTATCCCTTTGTGAGGAGAGAGAGCACAGAGGGAGTTCCTAGAGACCGAGGTCTGGATGCCCACCATATCCCTCCAGGCCGCCCCCGATGGAAATCTGCTCCAGTAACTCGACCTTGACCCCATGGATACCACACAGCTAACAAAGAGGCTGTCTTCTCCTCCACAACTTGCTTTCACAGTGGGCGGGCAGGGCGGGCACCTGAGGGGGGCTGCGCACTGGAGGCCCTACCTTTCTCTGCAGGGCAAGTTCGCCATCGAGCTCCTCGAGCCTTCTCTCCAGCTTCCATTTCAGGTTTTCGTACTGTTCCCGCTGCTGGTCCATCTCGCTGTTCTTGTCACTGTGTAAACATGGCAGTAGTAAGACAGGTCAGGGCTTGCTCTCGGGGGCTTCAGTGGGACCCTACACCACACAGGTGCCTGCCTGCAGAGGGAGCCTGAAATGGGGTCCAGAGTCTCACAAGGTAATTCCCAAAGTGCCCAGGACACAAGCCCAAGTCACACCGAGCACAGGAAGGTCCCCACCTGAACGGGAAAAGACAGCACACGCTAACCCCAAAATGACACAGATGTTGAGATTTTTTAACAAGGGTTTTTAAAGCAGCCATTATTTAAAATGCTTCAGCAAGCAATGTAGTGCACTCTTACGTAAAAAATTAGAAACTCTCGGCAAAGAAAAACTTACAAAGAATCAAACAAATTGAGAACCAGGAAGTATGACAACCAAACAGAAGGCTCACTGGGGTGGGCTCAACAGCAGAATGAACATGACAGACAACATGACGGAGCAAAGAATCCATGAACTTGAAACCAGAACAACAGAAACTACCCCAGCAAATAACAGAGGGAAACACACTGAAAAACATGAGCACAGCCTCAGGGAGTTGTGGGACAGTCACCCTGAGCCCGAGCACGGGAGGACAAAGAGGAGGGCTGACATGTACTTGAAGAAATAATGGCTGAAAAGGTCTCAAATTAAGGGTAAAAAAAGGGGGGGGGGGACAAATGACGTGAGGAGACACTTTACAAGAATGGTGTAGAACACTTTAAGGATGCTTTGGGGTGCCTGGGGGGGCTCAGTCGTTAAGCGACTGCCTTCGGCTCAGGTCATGGTCCCAGGGTCCTGGGATCGAGCCCCGCGTCGGGCTCCCTGCTCGGCGGGAAGCCTGCTTCTCCCTCTCCCACTCCCCCTGCTTGTGTTCCCTCTCTCGCTGTGTCTCTGTCAAATAAATAAAATCTTAAAAAAAAAAAGAAGAACACTTTAAGGATGCTTTAAACTGTCTCAAATACAGCTGTGAGAAAGAAAATCAGTATTTCCACAGAGGCAAGCTGGCCCACGTGTCCCAGTGTTAAGAGCACCTGCTTCTGATCCTCCAGGTGCAACACAGTGTGACTTTTAACAATGGAGTTGGGGAACAGTCACAATGCCAACACCCACCCCGCAGGGGAAGGTCACAGATCCCCGTCCCTGCTCCAGGCGATGCTGACCTTGGTCAGCATCTGTACCTGTCTTCCCCGGCCCCTGGGGAGGCAGCACGGGCTGTGAACACTGCCAGCCGTATTGCTTGCAGGAATGACAGGCTCCCTGGCACACGGCGTCGGGACTGGGAGCCCCTGCACAGAGGCCATGAACACCTGGGCTCCCGGGCCTCCCTGAGGACAGCGACGCTCGGGACCCTGGGAGCTATGCCTATGGTTGTTACGGGAGATGCCAGCCGGCGGCTCGGAGGCCCATACGCCAAGGTGGTCCCGCGCCCACTGAGGGAGGTCTCTGCTCACGCCCAGCCTGCCACGGAGTCTCCTGCTGCTGAAGAGTACAGCGCCAACAGGCCCAGCAAACGCAAAACGGGGCTGGGTAGCCATTTAAAAGGATGTGGCAGAACCCAGTGCACGACACGAAGAAAACCGCCCAGGTAGATGGGAAACCGCCACAAGCAGGTTGTAGGCCGCGTGTACGGGACGTGTCTATGTGGGCGTGAGGGGAGCTCTCCCAGGGAGAACACAACAGAGTCCTCGGGCAGCTCTTCCTTTCCACCTCACCACCTTCAGGAAGAAACGATTGTCTAGAACAAGAATATCGTCACTGTTGTGATTTTCTACAAGTACTTTGAAGGGCATGTGTGACAACATGAAACACTATTCAGGATCCCGTTTTAAGTGAAAACAGAACCCACAGGGTGCTGCCAGCCACTCTGACGTCTGTGCCCACACACGCCAGAGAGATGCACCTGACCGTCACCGTGACTTCACAGACACACACCCTGGGCGCCTGGGGGGCCCAGTCGTTGGGCGTCTGCCTTCGGCTCAGGTCATGATCCCAGGGTCCTGGGATCGAGCCCCGCGTCGGGCTCCCCGCTCAGCGGGGAGCCTGCTTCTCCCTCTCCCATCCCACCCCCCCCACCCCCGCTTATGTTCCCTCTCTGTCTCTCTCTCTGTCAAATAAATAAATAAAATCTTTAAAAAAAACAAACAAACATACACCCTGAAATCAGGGGAAGGACGGCAGATTTTTGTCTTCTCTCTCTTCTCACTGAGGAGGAGAGTGCGTGGGACACGAGAGCGGCTTTCCGGGGACCCGCCAACAGGACCCTCTGACCCGAACTTCGGGTTCTTAGTCAACCTGCCTCAAGTGAGCTCACTGCGCTTGGGAATCAATACCTGTTTTGCATCATTAAAACAATCATGGGCTCGAATATCTTTTATTGAAATGATACAGATTTGCAATTCATGGAGAAAACTCGGGACATTGAAACCAGTCTCCCGGTGCCCTCACCGCGCGGCCCGAGGGGCGCTCACCTGTGGATGCGCTCCAGCTCCAGCCGGTGCTCCTGCAGCTTCAGCTGGTGTTGCCGCTGCAGGTCCTCCCGCCACCGGGCCTCGCGGGCGAGCGCCTGCCTCAACCGGGCCGCCTCCACCCTGAGGTCGCTCACCTCCGCCTGCCGCGCCTCCTCCAGCCCTCGGGCCTGGGCGAAGGCCGCGTCGTAGCGCTCCAGCTCGCGGTCCCGCTCCTCCAGCACCTGCAGGTTGTAGACGAAGTCCTCCTGCAGGCGCCGCAGCGCCCCCTGCGCCTGGTGCAGCTGGCTGTGCGCGTCCTGCAGCGCGGCGTCCCACGGCTGGCAGCGCTGGGCCTGCAGGGCTCTGCTCTCGCCCTCCTTGTGAGCCCGCAGCTGGCTCAGGGCCTGCTCTGAGGGCGGCGGCAGCATGGGCACAGCTGCAGTGGGGAGCAGGTGGGCAGCGGGCCCAGGGTTAGGGGCTCTAGCTGTCCTTCTCGATACCCGCGCCAGATCCCCGTCACCCAGTGGAGCACGCTCTGGGCCAGTTAGCAGCTGTGTGGTCACACATTCGGAAGAGCCACAGGTGGCCCCCACCAGGGCCCAGACCTTGAGGGCTCTGCTAGCCGATCCTCACCCTGCAGCAGAGGAAGGAAAGGTAGGAAACACCGTTTGCTCACCAACAAGAGCTAGGTCCTTCAAAACAGGCTCATGAAGGGCTCTCCCACTTTGCAGGTGAGAAAATGGGGCCGCTAAGGAGCCGAGCAAGCGCTGGGGCCCGCCAGCCTCTGAGAGCCAAGGCCCCCTCCGGCCCCACACTCCGCTCCTGCAGCAGCCTGGGGCGCCTGGAGATCCAGCACTCAGGAGCACGTTCCTTGGCTCTTTTATTTCCAACCCATCACAGACTAATAATTTTCTAAAACAATAAAAATAAAGTACTCAAGGAAAATATAATTAAAAAACAAAGATATATAACGCAAAGACCAATTTTTAATTATTAGATCCAACAGCATAAAACCACCTTGTCAAACTGCTAACAACTGTCTAAACACCTCTTGCTCTGGCGGTCTGCCAAGCGTGGGCCGCATGAGTATGCGTGGGGGGGCTAGCAAGGGCCGCTAGGCGTGCCAGAGACCACGTGGACTGTCGACGTCCCATCGCCCGTCCCATCGCCCGGCAGAAAGGGGTGGATTCTGACACGGAAAACCACGTGGTGCTCGGGGCCCTGACCTACAGAAACAGGCCCACGGCCACGCAGCAAGCCCAGAAGGTAGGCAGGCAGGGCCCAAGGGCCACGGTCATCCTGGGGGCAGATGCGCCAGGGGCAGACACAGCCCTTCTCTGAGAGCACCTCTCCAGAAGGGCCGGGGGCGCCTGCCAGTGACATTTGAGTATCACTGTCATCCCAAAGAATCTAAAATGTCTGATTCATATAAAGTGGGTCTTTTTTTTTTTTTTGCCCGATGCAGGGCTCAATCCCAGGACCCTGAGATCATGACCCGAGCTGAAACCAAGAGTTGGTTATTCAACTGACTGAGCCACCCAGGCACCCCTGAAGTGGGTCTTTTTTTTTAAGAGGAGAAAATCCCAGGGTGCCTGGGTGGCTCAGTCAGTTGAGTAACCAACGCCTGGTTTCAGCTCGGGTCATGCTCTCAGGGTCCTGGGGTCAGGCTCCACACTCAGCCCCTCCCCCTGCTCACATGTGCTCGAGCTCTCTCTCTCTCCCAAATAAATAAATAAATGTTAAAAAAAAAAAAAAAGAAGGAAAATTCCCACCATCCCACGAATTCTTGACTCACTGGTTCAGCAGTGTTTATGGTGAGCCTTCAGGGACTGGGGGAGATGGACAGCGGGGACACTCTGTGTGGGGTCACAGAGGTAACAGGCAGCCATTCCTGAGGTGAGCCCCACAGCTCCTACACTGGTCTACCTCATCAGCATAAAGCAAAGACAGAAACTCAGAAACAGGAACAAGAGAACCTAAGGGCTACTGCTTTTGGTATTCTTTACGTTAATTCTAGAATTCTCAAGTAAGCAACCACTCTGAATCAGCGATACTACTTTTTAGGGACATGAAGTATTGTTTCACTCCTGAAATTACTAATAATAAAAACCACCGACAAAAAATTATCCATATAATCAAATCTGTTACTGTAACATCTTGGTAATAAAATGAAAAAACAAAACAAAACAATGAACTCACAGGTGCAGGTAGTATGTTATGTGAGGGGCAAGTCTTCTTCGAACACCACACGGGTCTCTGGCCCAATGAGTAGAGTTTGGTAGTAATTCTCACTACAAGTGAAAAAAAAAAAAAAGAAGAAAGGAAAGGGGAAAAAAGGTAAAAGAGAAACTGTCAAAATGGTCTGGGCTGGTATTTGGAGAATCCCAAAACATTGTCAGGACCCCAAAAACAATAATGACCATTTCACAGAAGACACGTGCTGTGCTTGGAGCTGCCCCACGAACAAGAGACACACGTCAGCTCTGGGCTCAGCAGAACAGTGCTTATAACTCGGACAGTAGGGGCGCCTGGGTGGCTCAGTCCGTTAAGCGTCTGCCTTCGGCTCGGGTCATGATCCCGGGGTCCTGGGATCGAGTCCCATGTCGGGGTCCCTGCTCAGTGGGGAGTCTGCTCCTGACCTCTGCCTCTGCCTCTCCCCCTGCTTATGCTCAATAAATAAATAAATAATAATCTTAGAACACTGGCAGTCGAAGAGGAAAACACGGCTTGATAAACGTCAGGATTGGGCAATCGAGGCCACGTAACTGTGGAGTATCAGACAACGCATCCAACCGGAGGCTTGCCGGAGGACAAAGCACCAAGAACAGGATTGAGCGCAGCACCCACCACCTTCATAAGGAAAAAGTAAGGCGATGTCTCAGGTGAAGCCAATATTTTCTCAGCACTGGCACTTGGATCTGAATGAATTCCTTATGCAGGTCTTCCTAGAAGAGCAACGAATCACGCAGGACAGGGCCTGGCCAGCTCTTGCTGTAAAGGGCAGTGGGTAATTATTCAGGGCTCTGTGGGCCACAGGGTTGTCACGACTCTTCAGCTCCGTGCAAAGCAGCACAGAGTGTGCAAACTGCGGGCTGGGTCTGGCCCACTGGCCTGCTTTGTCAAGCCCTCCATCTCTGTGCAGGGCACCTTTATCACCGGGTAACAGCTGCTGTCATTTCTTAATGGCTGCTCCCTGCAGCCCCGAACCCTCAGGGCTCACATCCAGCCGGTCTTGGGGCGACCTGGCGCTGGAGGGGAGCAGCGGAGCGCAGAGGGAATGCCCGTGCCAAGACCCAGAGGGAGAGGCTGAAGCAGCAGGAGGGCCTGCAGAGGGCTGGGGAGACCGCAGGACCCTGCCATGGGCAGTGCAGTAAGAAAAACATCATGGCCTTCATTCCCAGCTCCTGGCACACGGCCCCTAAAACCCTCACAACTTCCCGAGTGACAGGAGCTACAGGGGCAGCTTTCGTTGGCTTTAGTTCTTCTTCCCGGGTTCTGAAATAATTCCAGGCGAGAGGCTACCTTCTGTTTCTCGTATCAAACCTGTCAACCACACCTGAGTTTACGAGGTGACTCTGGAAAGCCCCAGATAACCACGGGATGGAGCTGGTTGCCAGGGGAGCCAACCTTGGGATTACAGGGTTTCCCTTTCGACTCCGCCTGCCAGCTTCCACCGTGAGGCTGGCTCAATCAATCATGCCTACATGATGAAGCCTCCACACACATCCTCAGCCAAGGGGTTCAGAGAGCTTCCAGGTGGGTCAACACATTGGAGGTGCCCCGAGACAGCGTGGAAGCGCTGCACCTCGTCCCCCACCCCTCACCCCAGGCCTCTCTTCCATCTGGCTGTTCCTGAGTTAATATCCTCTTATAATAAACTGGTGCTCTGGAAAGTAAAATGTTTCTCAGTTCTGTGAGTTGCTCCAGCAAATGGAGCCCGAGGAGGGGGTCGTGGATCTTCCGATGTATCGCGGGTCATCAGGAGCACAGTCGTGACAACCTGGACTTGCAACTGGCATCTGGGTGGGGTCAGTCTTGTGGGGCTGAGCCCTTAACCTGTGGGGCCTGCGCTAACCGGGAATCTGGTTCAACTGTAGAGAATGCTTGGTGGAGGAAAAGCCCCCCTCACGCCCGTTGGAGGCGGAGCAGAGCTGAGTGTGAGCGCAGAGAGAGGGAGGCCTGCGAAGCAGGGGCCTAATCGCTAGGGGCAGCAGAACTCCAGCGCCCTGATCACCGCATCCTCCCAGGGGCCAATCCTGCCCAGGGGCAGCCCCAGGGCTCCTCCCTGCAGGGGTCCGGAGAAGGGCAGCGCTCCTCCACGGCGGACTGGACTGCGGGCAGAGCCAACATGCCTCTCGGCCTCGCCCTGCACCCACATCAACCCCTGCTCAGCTGCAACACGCCCATCAGGCACCTGCTTGCTGTCTTGAGTTACAGACCGCCTGAGCCCAGCACCCCACGCTTCTGCCCCCCAGTTTTCCTGGCTCCTTCAAAGGCACCCCTCTAAGGGCGCCTGGGTGGCTCAGTCGTT